ACTCTAAAAGAGAAATTAATTAACTATTTCGAAAATAAAAATTTATTCTCGCCAGCCCAATTTGGGTTTAGAAGGCATAGATCTACAATAAGAGCAGTCGCTGAAGTAATTGATTACATAGTCGGAGGCTTTGATGAGGGCTCGAATACTACTGCGGTATTATGTGACCTCACTAAGGCCTTCGACAGTGTGAGCATTGATATTATTTTAGAAAAAATGGAGTACTATGGCATAAGGGGGAAGGAACTTGCCTTATTTTCATCCTATCTGGCGAACAGATTACAGTGCGTGTTTCATGATAATGTAGAGTCACAATTGGCTCCCATTTTAAGAGGAGTTCCACAGGGTTGTGTATTGGGCCCTGTTCTATTTTTAATATATATTAATGACTTGCCGCAAAACATGAAACATTGTACTAGTGTCATGTTCGCAGATGATACCACCCTCCTATCCAAAGATGACACGATCTTGAGCAGAACTTGTTTAGAGTCCTCTAATAAATGGTTTGCGGCAAACGATTTAAAGCTAAATAATGTAAAAACACAAAACGTTACTTTTTCTTCCAGTAAAGTCAAACTAGCCGGGTCAGTAAACCTGCTAGGAGTAGTGCTCGATGCCGGTTTGAATTGGTCGCGCCATGTAGACAATGTCTGTTCAAAATTGGCGTCCCAAATTTTTGCACTCAGGCAAATAGCGAGTTTTTCAGGAAAATCAGTGCTAAAAAACTGTTTATTATGCAATTATACATAGCCATCTGACTTATGGTGTCGCGTTCTGGGGCGGCAGTTATCACTCTCAGAAGGCTTTTGTTCTTCAAAAAGCTGCCTTGAGGATCATTGACGGTGCAGAACTCGACCTGCCATGTAAGCAGCTATTTAAAAGGTACAGAATTCTTCCATTGCCTTGTCTGTATATATTGGAATCATTAAAAGAAATATATAAAAAACGTAATTCATTGGATTCGTATAATAATAATCACAGCTACAATACAAGGAATGCGGAGAGTCTAGTTCCTTTTAAATCAAGAATTTGCCTGACGCATAATAATAAATTGGATTTGGTCCTTTATAATCAATTTGTAAACTGTCATAAGGATATTAATATAGGTGCTCTAAATTTAAAACGATTTAGTAATTTAGTTAAGGAGTTTTTATTGACAGAATGTTTTTATAGCATAGACGAATACAAAAATTTTACGAGATGATTTTATCAGTTTTAACAATTTTAACATTTTATCCACTTTACATTATTTTTTTTATGTTTGTTTTTGTCTGTAAACCTAAAATATTTTATATTTATTAATTTACGACACTTTACTGTTTTATCTTTAGTTATATTTTGGTTACTTTATTGTTTATACTTTGTAAAATGACATAAAATATATTGTTATATGTAAATATGTCAATAAACTATCTATCTATCTATCTATCTATCTATCTATCTATCTATCTATCTATCTATCTATCTATCTATCTATCTATCTATCTATCTATCTATCTATCTATCTATCTATCTATCTATCTATCTATCTATCTATCTATCTATCTATCTATCTATCTATCTATTATTATTATTATTATTATTATTATTATTATTATTATTATTATTATTATTATTATTATTATTATTATTATTATTATTAAATTCTCATTTCTGTTTTTCGGCCTCTTTTTCAATTTATTATTATTTCGATAATTATTATTAATCAGTTTTTCTTACCTGCAGACAAAAAAGGTACCGAGTATATTCTTCCTCCAATTGTGCAGGATCCGGAGTATAAAATTTGACACAAAAATGAAGAAGCGGGTCGACAAGTGAAAGACCAAGTTGTCGAGAAATGGGTTTTTGGAGATCCAGCCAATACTAAAAAATTACATCAAGAAAATCAAACTATTGGAAACAACTTTTAATAAAAATTATAAATTACCTATGTTAAAAATTGAGATAAAAATATATTTATTAAATTAGCACTCGGTCTATCACATCTGGTTTTAAAACTCGACATATTTTTTATTTAATATTTATAATTACCCTTGTTCCATGAGTATCCCAATATTCTAAACCAAAATAGTCTGCCTCTAGTAGATGTAGCTGCTTACAAACTTGTTCAAATAATACTCTGCCCATTGCTTTTGCCTACAACAAAAAATGCATTATAAGTAAAGTTTGAATTATGTATGTCAAAATTCTAGAATTTTTCATTCTTGAACCATATTTTAACTTAGAGAAATAAACTTCATAAATACAGAGTATCCGTGTACATCGAACTACTGTATGTTGGTGAGATCAAAATAGGTCGATTGAGTCAAAATTACCTATATTACAAAGTGTTTCGTTTGCCTGTGAGAAAGCTTCAAAGTTGAAAGATTTTTTTTTAATAACTCAAAAACACTTCGTTCGATTTTTATAAAATTTGGTTTGTAGCTATTTAAATTGAAGGATCATTGTTCAAAGCAAAAATTACACCAACTAAAATCATGGAAGGGTAAAAACCACCCCAATCCTACCATAAATGACATCGTATTTTTTTATGAGGGCCGCCATTGTTTCCTCAATTTTTTTATGGATAGCTGTATTCATTTGTAGAATTTTGGACTTTTGCAAAAACATGTATACAGGGTGGGGCACTTAAAAGTTCCACCCCCCCCCCCTTAACTTCGTTATTCATTGAGATATCGGAATATTTTTTGTATGATCTTTATAAAATCTGTGTAAGCTTCAAAATTTCCATAAGACCCATTTACCGTATACCAGTGGCGTGTATCTAAGCATTTTTATTATTAGCAAACCGTTTAATAATTCCATCCGCTTTTATCTTCGTTGTTAATTGAAATATCAGAATGAAACCTTTTTTGTTTAAAAGCTTACGACAGATACTTTCATATACTGGTTCTAATTGGTCTGTGACGTCATGGCTTACTTCCGATTTTCCGGTTTTAACTGAAAATCGCAATTTATTTTTTAATTTAAAATCGAAACCCTTTTTTTATTGAAAATTAGAATTTTTGGGATATTTTTGAATAAGAAACGTGTATTGAAAATTTTGTGACAACTGTCAAAATGGCCCCATATTGGTTAATATTTTTTCTAAACATGTAACTATTAATTCGTTTATGTAAAAAAATATGGGAATGTATAATCTTTATAAAATCATTGTAAGCTTCAAAATTCCTACAGTACACCAGTGGTGTATCTAAGCATTTTCATTATTAGCAAACCGTTTAATAATTCCATCCGCTTTATCCTCGTTGTGAATTGGGATATTGGAACAAAAACTTTCTTGTTTAAAAGCTTGGAACAAATACTGACAAATACTGCATTCAACTGGTCTGTGACGTCATGGCTTACTTCCGGTGTTTCGAAAATAACAGTAAATCGCAATATATTTTTAAATAGCACTTTTTTATTGAAAATTTAAATTTATTGAGCGTATCAATATTATTTTATTATTGTATGGTAGGTATTGTTTTATTATATTGATTCTTTAAAGCTTTCTGATGAAATTAAGCTACTTTAAAATTTAAAATAAAAACATAACATTCGTTAATTCAAAGATCTGTTGCGTGTTCTACTACTGAGCTTTAAGTACGTACGTAACGCACACTACGGAGTGCATAAAGTTTTACTTTTTCACTAGTGCGTAAAGTAAAACTTTTTACGCACTGGTGCGTAAACAAGACACAATTTTTAGTATTTTGACATGACAAATGTCAAATTTTCCTTACGCGCTAGTGCGTAAAGTAAAACAGTTTACGCAGTAGTATGAAATTCGTATGTAATAAACTTTTTCCTACGACTACTTAGGAAAGTGACACATATCACACTATATAGTCCTATGGAAAGTGCCCTATATCACACGCGTATGAATAAGAATTTACTTTCCACCCGAGTGAGAATAAGTTACTTTCCGCAGTAGTTGTCACAAAATGTCAAACACCTAATTTCTATTTTGATCTATGTAATGTCCATATTAATACTAAAATCGATATGATTGTTAAATTATTGAAATCGTTGTAAATTAGATCCTAGATATTTATCTTTAACAATTATTATTAAAATACTTTTAAAATAATGTTTGCTCTTTATTCTGATTAAATATATAACCGATTAGATCATTCAATTGATACAAGGGCTATTAGCTCAGGTGGTTAGGACGTCGAACTTATCAACTTTGCCATTTTTCGACCGCGTTCGAATCCTGGCGGGGCAGAATTTTTTTTTGTTTTTTTTATTTTTTTTATTTTATTTTTTTTATTTTATTTTTTTTTTTTTTTTTTTTTTAGTTTTTTTTTGTTTAGAAAATATGAAAATTGAATAAATACGATTATTGTTGATTATTTTTTTAAATACATTTTATTTATTATAGTAATAATAACCTTGGTTACATTTTTTTGATGACATTATTTTGTGGTCGTAGGAAAAATATTGTACATCACTTGTGTGAAAAGTGATTTTCCACACTCGTAATGTAATATACTATTTTTAAAGGCTACTTCATATGTATAAATACCTATTTTTTATTAGTATATGTATCAGTGTGTGACGAAGTCACTAAATTTTATTTTTAATTTATTTTAAAAATGTTAGTTTAATGAAAATACTAGTGAACAATCTTTTTCGTGGCATCGTGGCGCGTAGGAAGCATATTGTTATAACGTAAAAAAAACATAACAACAAACAAAATTTTGAAAATTTATTTAGGTAATTTTGTTTATTATAGTTTGAATATTCGGTAAAAAAATTTAAAATTATAGCATTTTAAATTTTAAGGTATATTATTTAATTCAAGAAAATTAGAATTTTGTGTGTGTGTGTGTGTGTGTGTGTGTGTGTGTGTGTGTGTGTGTGTGTGTGTGTGTGTGTATGTGTATGTGTTGAAATGATAACACCCTATATTAAAATATAATAGAACTAAAAATAATAACATTACTAATATTAATAATAACTATAATAATAATAGTAATAAATAAAAAAAATTTATGTTATAACCCTGTATAGTAAAATTGAAAGTCATAAGTGAAGGAGACTTTGTGAAGGAGGTAGACTGGATTGGGTTTCTAGAGGGGCGTTTGATTTGAAACTCGATCGAGCGAGCGTCGAGGAGACCGAGAAGTGATGACGTCACCATAGAGCATTGAATCAAATCAAATAAAACAGAGCAAAAAACATAACCTCGCTTTTTTGTGATTCTTGTTTCTGGTTTGTATGTTAAAAAAGTGAGCAAAAAGTAAAGAAAATGGAAAAACTTTTAATAATAAGGGGTAATGGCCCTGAAATGCAGCATTTACCACAAATGCCCGCTTCGCTCTCCTACTCCATGACTGTAATTACTGGTGATTAGATCTGGACAGAAAAAATGTATTTTCCAAACACACATTTTGTGTTTTTTTATGATGAATAATTTTAGTTATGAGACAAAAGCGGCTGAGTAATTTGTTGACTTCTTGTCTGGTCTTTAATATTGAGATTCAAATTTGTAAGTTAATTAAAAAGAGATAGGTAGAGACAAAGACAAATTTCTCCCTCTTCTCGATCTTTCTGCTCTGAGAACATCGAGCTGGCTCTATGTTCTCTCTCCAAAGCGAAACAAACACTTTAGGGATCTCTCGGAGTGACAATTCAAACACTTTTGAAGCGCTCGGAGATTTCCGATGATCAAATCAAACGCACCATAGGTGGGAAGGATGATGGATTGTCAATTTTGAAATAAAAAAAAAAATGTCAAAGATTTTTTTGGAAAGAAAGATTGAATTCTTTTGAATGATATAAAATAGAAATTGAAAAACTAATACATAAAACAGATGTAAAATAAACAAATTTAAAGAACCATATACATAAACGTATGTAAAGTATAGAGTATTTACGGAAGAACTTTCGTAAATTTTTCTGGAGAGTTATGGAGATAAACCGTATATAATGGAATACCAATTTGTGGAAATAGACATTTTTCAAGAGAACAGTGAGTAAATTTTACAAACTAATTCAAATAGTTGTGTGAAAAAAGACAGTGATAGTTGTAGAATTTAATTTTAGTATATAGTTTAGCAAGAATGAATGAAGAGTGAATGAATTTAGATTAGATTTAGTGATATAGTTTCTTTATAATCCCCAGAAATGTATATAGCGGGGAAATGTTGTTAATTGGAGATTTGAATAACTTGTTTGATAATAAATCTTATAAATTTTGGTTTTGAAAATTTGTTTATTTGATTTGAGAATACAGGGAAATAAACAAGTCCAGTCATAAATTTTTATTTTGTTAATTATTGACAAAATAAATTAAAAGAAAATTAAAATAAAATATAATTAAAATATAATTAAAATATAATTAAAATATAATTAAAATAAAATTAAAATATTGTTAAAATAAAATTTAAATAAAATTAAAACAAAATCAAAATAGATACATAAAATAAATTAAATTGAAAAAGTAATAATATTACAATTGGAAGCACCCCTGAGATTAAAAAAAAAAAAAAAAATAAAAAAAAAAAAATTAAATAAAAAAATACTTTAATTAAAACAAAAAAAAAAAAAAAATGGTATTGTGCGATATCATTACAATTGGCGCCCAAGATAAAGTTGTCAAATTGACAAGTGTAGGTTAAAAATTGTCAGATTGACAAAGTATGATATAAGTCATATTTGATAGTGATACAGAAATATAGTTATTATTAAATTTGTAAATCAAATATATTAAAAAAAAAAAAAGGATCTGTGAATAAACATAAAACATAAAATAAAACCTGATTATCATGGAAAAGATGGAATTGAGAGGAGGAAAAAAGGTTCGACAACCAGAAGAAATTGGACCAGATGTTGGACAGGGAGATAATTCACAAATGGAAGAACAGAATTTGGCAGCAACAATGCTTGAAAGAAGAAGTGATGAAAGCAGTGAAGGAAAAAATGAAGAGAAACAGAAAGACGAAGAAGAAAGGAGACCAAGAAATACAATAGAAAAAGAAAGTAGTAAGAGTCAAGAGATGTGTGTATCGGAAATGATCAGAGTGATGATGGGGAAGATGAATAAAATGGAGGAAAATTTTTACGATATAAAAGAAGATATAAAAGAATTAAAACAAGAAAAAAAGGAAATGGTTAAGAAATTAGAAGAATTCAAGATAGATTTAGAA